TCAATCATTAGTTTGTATTCATGACTCAGAAGGCCTTTTATGCAGAATACTCTTGTGCATTGGCTTGGAACACGGCAGGTTGTCTAAGTCAGAAGGCTTCTTGGTTCTCAACTGCTAGAAGGGTTAAAGAAATAGGTTGGGGGTTTTTTTGTGTTTTTTTAAATAAATGTGATCATATTGAGAGATTATATCTGGTGCTGACAGTTTCTCACTTACTTTGAAACTGGATAAGTGATTGTAAGGGAGAGTAGAGCAACTACCTACGTACAGGACAGCAATAATGTATACAGAATCTGTTATTGTCACGGTACCCAGACATCTCCCTCCCCTCCCCTTCATTAATGAGAAGGTGCGTTACATGGACCAGACCTCAACAATTATTAAACCCAGAAAGACAGACACAAGGAGAGAGGGCGGCGAGGGGGATCTAACCATAATCTACAGGAATTAAAGCCATACAGCCGAAAACCACAAACAAACTCTTCTCTGCCATTTTAAGTGCTTAGATGAAGGGGGGAAAAAAAACACACACACAAACAAAAACAAAACACATTCATATAAAAAAGTAGAAAAATCTTCTGCGTTAACGATTTTCTTAAAATACTACAAATGGTATATTTGGTACCGTAAAAGATCAAAGGTGACTTTCAACAGTATTTAATTAGACAAAGACAATGCACATTGCATTCGAATTCCCCCCCCCCCTTATGAAAAATTGTACAGCGGTAGTGTGTGTCTGTGTGTGTCTGTGTGTGTGTGTTTAAATTCTGGATAAACCTGGATTACCTAACTAGTAAAATCTAGTAACATTTACTCTGCAACCCTTTCAGATGAGTGTGTTGGAGGCACGTGTAAAAAAATTTTGCCAAAGAACTGAGCCAAATGATTTTTTTTTTTTTGTTAAACCACAGAAATCTGCTTGTTAGGAGAGTAAAACAAAGTTTTAGGTTGTGAACAAAAAGATCGGGCTGAATCATAACACATAATAAATATATACACAAACATACACACAAAATGTATGCACATTAAATATTAGAGTTTAATATTATAACAAGCGCAAGTTTGCAAATTTCTTTTATTGCATCATATTTATAAACGTACAGGTGCGTCTGTATTGTTTGAAATATAGAGGTTTTAATATAGAGGTTTTACAACTCTGATCATAATTATTTTTTTTTTTTAGAGACCCGGTTTATGATCCAATATCCTGAGTGACCTTTGTTTTTCTACTCTGCATGTTGTTTATAAAGTAAGATGTAACATATTTATCTCGGTGGTAAACTGCTGCCGAGAGCCCTGCCTACCTCTCAGCACAGCCCCCACCATCTAGGAACTATAGAAAACAGAAAGGCACACCAGAGTAACTAGTTAAATGCCCTTTGCTGCAGTTAGCAACCCATCAAGTTCAGCGTGATTCCAGGAAGGGATAAGGGTGAGGCCACATATATGTGTAACTCGCTATAAAGACAACACACTGAGCACAGAGCCACAAGGTATCTTTCAACTGCATAGATTTCCAGCCCCGCAAGGATCTCGGGCTAAGAATTATCTAAGGCTCGAACTATTGGAAAGATAATTTACTGCAGCGCTGCTGACTTCATGAAGATAATTGACTAATTATGTCTTCAGGAGGAAGGTCTGTAAACCCATGTTACTGAAAAGGGGAAAAGAGCTAGAGGTTTTGCAAAGAAGAGCATTGAAAGTTGAAACCGGGCATTCCTCGCAGTGCAACCTGTGATAATGTGTAACCAGCTCGGACATTCTGTTTGATTAAATTCATTGAGGAGAGAACAATTTTCCAACTTTTTGAAGATGTATGAAAATTACTCTTTGCTGATGAATGAGAGCATTTCAGAAGAGATGAAGACCATCAGCCTGGATGATGATGCCACTCTTCCCATTTACGGGCTGGCTAGCTTCCGGATCCTTATTTCTACGGTCTACTCGTTAGTGTGTGTGGTGGGGCTCTTGGGAAACCTCTCAGTGATGTACCTAATTAGGGCAAAGAAAGCTACAGGTCTTACTGCCATTGATGTCTTTGTGTTCTGCTTGGCTCTGACAGACTTCCAATTTGCTCTCACTCTCCCCTTTTGGGCTGTGGATGCCGTCATGGATTTCAGCTGGCCTTTTGGGCATTCCATGTGCAAAATTGTCCTAACCATGACCATTCTGAATGTCTACAACAATATCTTCCTGCTGACTGCCATGGCTATGACTCGGTATTGGGCAGTGGCTTCGGCACTAAGTCTCAGAGGAAGAGTGTCTGCCACATCTGCTAAGTGGATCAGCTTGGCTCTGTGGATCTTTGCTGTTGTTGTCACAATCCCTACCACCATCTTTGCCACTACCAGTAAAGTTTTAGGTGAAGATCTGTGCCTCCTTAAATTTCCTGGAAACAAGTGGCTGGCCACTTATCATCTTCAAAGGGTCATCATTGGGTTTGTAATACCTTTAGTGGTGATTTCTTCATCCTACGTAATGCTTCTAAATTTCCTTAGACAGCACAGAGTGAATGCCAACAACCAACACCGGCAAAGTAAAATCACAAACTCTGTACAGTTGATCATTATTGTCTTCTTTATCTGTTGGTTCCCTAACCATGCAGCCATCTTCTGGGGAATTCTGGTGAAGTATGAAGCCATACAGTGGAGCGAGGCATACTATTATTTTCACACATATGTTTTCCCCATCACGCTTTGCTTTGCTCATAGTAACAGCTGTCTGAACCCCGTTATTTACTGCCTCATGAGGAAAGAGTTTCGGACAGCTCTAAAGGCTTCCTTTTGTCAAATATCTTCTCTGGCAGTCTCCTACTTGCCATCAGCTCCCAGAAAGGAAGTATCTGTAAATGAGGAAGCCACGCTGCCACTCTACAGAAAATCCAGCTTTCCACAGACCACTTCCAATGACTGTGCCCTAGGATCTATCACCACAATCACCACAATCCCAGAACTTGTCATAAGGGACAAGGCCCAACAAAATTGTGAGCAGACAGGTCTGGAAACCTTTATAGAGTAAATTCACTCTACAACAACTGTTCCTTTTGTGGCACCAGATGAACGAAGGCTATACAAGTTACATGACTTTTAAGAAACACAATATCAATGAAACCATGTCCAGTTTCTGCTATTGTTGTATGAGATGGCTGTTTCAGTTGGTGGCTGATTGATTGGAGAAAGACCTTTTGAAGTGTCTACAGGGATCCCACGCATTAATACGCACTCTGAAGGCATCAATACCATGAATTTGTCTAATGATGCAGAACATCTCCTTGCTCTTTGTAAACAGCCGTTTATTGAACGGCTCTTAATGTGTAATTGAGTCTGTTGCATAGGTCATTATCCTGTGTTTTTGTACATTCTATATTGTGTTTGAAGCATAGAGACGACTTACGGCTTATCCAAGTGTGACTTGTATTCTAGCAAACTGTATTGATCTGGAATGTGCAGGCTACCAAAGTCACGGTTGTTAGAGCAAAATAATGGTTACAGAAGGCCAGAGGGGATTGGGAACTGGCACTCAGTGAGGCTTTGTGATTGGTAAACATATTTCTAAGGGTCATTAGTCAGAAAGCTTCAGCCCTCGGACAAAACTGCATTTTGTTGTTGGTGATAGGAAATGACTCTAAAACTATGGCGGTTATGTAGAAAGAGCGTTTCTCAAGCACACTTCTAAAAATGTGACAATCGGTAGGAATATTCCGTGATTTCCATGGTGACTGCTCCACTTTTAGAATTTGGACCTGACTTGCTCCTTCCTTTCTTGGCATTTGGGGATATGTAATCTTTGCCATGAGGGCTGCTGGTGACTCAAATCCCCATGATGTCTGGCTGGATGCTCCAATCTAGCAAATCCATTGAAAAGACACGGGTAGTTACTGTTCAGCTTACTACAAACAGACAGTGTAGAAAATACTGATTTCCTGTTAAAACCAATTAAATCAATACTAAATGCTTGTTTACATATGGTTATCTGAAATATTTCTTTGGACAAAGTGCTAAGTTCTTTTGGGAACATTAACATCTCAACTGGGTTTTGGAAAGGGGGAGCAGCATATCTGGTTGTATTCCTACATAAGACTTCACCTGTAGGCATGCTTGTCCATCTTTCTCTGTCTCTTTATAAATCCTTGTATGTCTCCTCTCCTCCTTCTATATACCCTCATACAGAGCTGTGTCTTTATTTAGCTACATATAGATTTTCATCTCTCTCTGTTGCTGTCACTGTTGGGTTTAATCAAATTTAACTGATACCTTTTCATAGAAAATATGGATTTCTTATTTTACCTAGTTGCGACGGTCTAATTCAATTTATATTGCCATGACATATGTTTTGGGAATAGGTTAAGTTGGTCTTTTTGAGCACTAAGAAAGGGTGATCGAAGAACAGTACTGACCGGGTTAAATGCTAAATCCCGCCTGTTGAATTGCAATTCTTTTCCCGTCAGCTACAGCAATGTGACCATCAGTAAAAAGGACTTCTGATCGGAAATTTAATTGACATATAGTGATCCTATTGTAGAGAAAAGAGGGGAGGGAGGGAACAAAATATTTGACTTGTCCTCGTGAGTGATTTTTAATTCTACTGTTACAGACTGAGAGCACAGCTGGCACAATGGGGGTCAAGCTCCCAATTGGAAAGTATTGGGGGCTAGCCAGTATTGGGGGCTAGCCTCTCCTGTAACGGAATACCCGCTGCGCTATGCCAGTATTAACTACCTCTAGTCTAACTAGAATAATTTAACCCTTTGACTTAAACCATTGAAACCTCTTACTGCATTACAGGGTTTGCCCAGCCAAAAAACATTGTTTTCATAAAACACTGGTTTTGGTTGGAGTAACCCATTCAGTGGTTGTCCCTCCCACCCCAGGCCAAAAACAAATAATAAAAAAAAATTATTTATATATATATATATAAAATGGGCTTAAGGGTGTATTATTATTATTATTATTTTACTTTGGCCCCAAGGCCAAGTTCTCCCCTCAGCCCTCTTACGCAGATGTCACTCCCACTCGCCGTAGTTGTAGGGAGGTCAGTAAGGGTGGACTGAGGGGAGGAAAAGGGTGTCTTGGAAGAGAGGTGTCAGACGCCAATTTTGCACAAAATGTATATTAGCTAACCGAGAATTCTAGTTCGGCGCTGGCTAATGACACCTCTTTGATGCTGCCTGAGGTGTTAAAGGGACACTCCAGGCACCCAGACCACTTCTGCCCATTGGAGTGGTCTGGGTGCCAACTCCCACTACTCTTAACCCTGCAAGTGTAATTATTGCAGTTTTTTATAAACTGCAATAATTATCTGGCAGGGTTAACTCCACCTCTAGTGGCTGTCTACTAGACAGCCACTAGAGGGCACTTCCTGGTTCCTAGCACAGGAAACCTGTGCTAGAGCGTCGCTGGACGTCCTCACGCTGTTTGAGGACCTCCAGCGTCGCTCATTTCTCCATAGGAAAGCGTAAAATATTTAAATACGCACTAGGTCTCCCTGGCCAGTGGGCGGGATCAGTCTCGCCCACCGGCCGACGCAATCAGTGGGAGGAGCGGCGCGGAGGAAGCAACCGGGGATTGGGGGGTGGGAGGGAGAGGGGACCTGCAGTGCCAGGAAAACGGATTGTTTTCCTGGCACTGAAGTTTCCCTTTAAACCTTGAGCAGCGGAGGGGATAATATTTTTATTTGCAGTGTTTCGTAGCAAAATACTGCACATACATAATCCAGACATCATGACCACTCCAAATCAATAACGTGCTCATAGGGTTTGGAGTAACCCTTTAATTGCAATACACTACTGTTTGTGTTTGTCTTTTTTTGAGTTAGCATGATCTTGCTGTAAAATTGTACCTTTATTTTCTTTTTAAAGGGGTACTATAGTGACTAAACAACTTTAGCTGAATTAAGTAGGTTTTTGTATATAGAACTTGCCCCTGCAGTCTCACTACTCCATTATCTGCCAGTTAGGAGTTTAATCACTTTTGTTAATTTTTATGCAGCCCTTGTAACACCTCCCTGGGTGTGACAGACACAGCCTGCATGAAAACAAAATGTTTTTATTTTTAATCAGATGTAACTTACTTTAAAGGATCACTATAATGTCACAAACACAAACCTGTATTTCAGACCCTATAGCACTAAGATCACTATCTAGCCTCCATTGCCCCCCCTAATTATAGTAAAATCTTTCTTTTATTCCAGTCTCCTGGTGCTGGCTCTGCCACTGATCTGCCGCCTTGGCTGACATCATCAGAAGTAATGATCCCAGCCAATCACAATGCTTTCTTATAGGAAAACATTGGATTGGCTGAGATGGTCAATTGTGATGTCTGCCAAGGAGGAGAGTTGTGGGCGTAGCCAAACACTGCCATGCAGTGAATCAATCCATCTCTATGGGGAAAGTGAGTGTCTGCATGCAGAGGGTGGAGACACTGAATGTCAGTCACACTGTGCAGCACTGCCCGAGGAAGCACCTCTAGTAACCATCTGAGGAGTGGACACTAAAAGTGTCCCTAGGTTGTAATGTGAAAACACTGACTTTTCTCTGAAAAGAAAGTATTTACATTAAAATTTCTGAAGAGAATGATTATAGTTACTATAGCAAGTACATTAAGCTGTAGTTGTTCTGGTGACCAGGGCCGCCACCAGGAGGCGACAACCATGGCGGTTGGTATAGGCCTGGCGGTCCTGGGGGGCCCGGACTGCTTTGGCAGTCCCGGGCCCCACATTCCCTCTCTGCACATATATATATATATAGAGATGATCGCTATATATATGTGCAGCTGCGGGGCCCCGGCTCCCTGTTTTTGCAGAGGGGGCCCAGCAGACTGCAGCAGTACTTTACAGCTCTTACAGCTCTCTAACTCACGCTCGCCCCCTCTGCAAATACAGGGAGTCGGGGGCCCCACAATGCCACCGGACCACCAGTGATGGAATCTCCCCCCTCCCTGAACCAGGTAAGAAGCAGGGAAGAGGGAATAACCTTTATTAGATTTAATGTGGGGGGAAGGGAAAATGCTCCATTTGCACAACATTCATACACTAGTAAACACACACACACTACACTGACACACACTCTGCATTCATTAAACTAACACACACTCTGCATTCATTACACTAACACACACTCTGTATTCACTACACTGACACACACTCTGCATTCACTACACTGACACACACACTGCATTCACTACCCTGACACACACTCTGCATTCACTACCCTGACACACACTCTGCATTCACTACCCTGACACACACTCTGCATTCACTACACTGACACACACTCTGCATTCATTACACTGACACACACTCTGCATTCACTACACTGACACACACTCTGATTTCTGGTGGCAGCCCTGCTGGTGACTATAGTGTCCCTTTAAATGTTTTTATCTCCTGCTCTGTAAATTGAATGTTGGTCACATGCAGGAGTCTCCTGCAGGGTCTAAAAGGCTATCAACAGAGCAGGAGATGAGAAATTCTAAATAAACAGAAATTCCAATAAAGGAAGTGTAAACATTAGATAATTATTTGCAGGAAGTGTTAAGGAAGGCTGTGTAAGTCACATACAGGGAGGTGTGACTAGGGCTGCATAAACAAAGTGATTTAAATCCTAAATGGCAGAGGATTGAGCAGTGAGTCTGCAGAGGCAAGATCTATACACCAAAACGTCTTCATTAAGATAAACTATAGTTTTGATGATTATAGTGTCCCTTTATTTATTTATATGATTTTCAAATGAAAGGATACTATTCTCAAAGGCAATTTAAAATAAAAAAAAATTTAAAAAAAAAACTGCCCTGGAGAAAAGAGCCCTGAAGTGTTTAATACAACTTTCCTAGAATGCCAGTGCCAAATATTCAAATAAGCACAGTCAATTTTGTCACAATTACAGATGTTAGTCCATACTCTTGCATGTCCCTCTACACAGAAGCCTACTATATAAAACCTAGTTTCTCCCCCTCTTCCACCCCCCACACTCCCCACTTCTAGTGTGTTTTCAGAAACTGATCCATTAACATACGCACACACATACATATTAAAGCAGCTCTGTCATGGCCCTACTCGTTTATGTCCCCTCTCCCTCTCAGTCCTCTGTGTGTCCCCCAAATGTGCAGAATTTAGCTCAGGGACCCCCCTTTTACCATATTTTATTTATATATCAGCGGTGCCTGATTCTGCCCTATTGCTCATTCACTAGGTAGAAAGGCTCACAATTATAGCCACAATGTGGCCTGTTGAACTCGATGAGTGCCAGTGAGAGTAAAACTGATGCACCCTTTAAAATAAAATATATATTTTTTCATTAGAGTGTTTAAAGGTGTCTACCAGTTGTGTTTACATGTTTGTTATTTTTAATTGTTGCTACTTTTTAAAATAAACTATGCGCACTTCTAGTATCATTCTGTTGTTCTTAGAATAAAATAATGTCCCACAACCTGATCTCCTATGCTTGATTGACATCTGATTTTGTATCTTATAACTGGTGCATGACTCAGGCGAAGAAGTATGGTTATTGTGTGCTCTCTATGCTCTTCCACAACAAAACCCCTAGCATTAATGTGGAAGTATATTCTTCGAATTGGACCCAAAACTGATCCAGAACATGGTTTTGTAGTTAAGAGGTTGAATCTGCCATGCATTTCTGGACATCCCCAGGGCAAGAACTTTACTATGATTTCTACAACAGAAGGCAACATATATTACTGAAAAACATCTACGGTAAAAAAGCTATATGGTAGATTAATTCAATTTGGATCCCTGAGGGAAAACAAATTGAACCCAAGACTTGGTCTGAGCACTGTGATGTTTTAATTTCACTGATCGGCCTTCCCCGTGGTAATGCAGGGATCTCATGAGGCTTAGAGAGCTTGTTTCACTGTGGTGAGCAGTACGTTGATTTAAAAGTTAATTCCTGATTTTAGTGAAAACACAACTCACTGTTTACTCTGTGATGTCAGCCGGTAGATAAGTCTAGTTCATGTCACAGTGTCTGAGAGATTATACTTCATTCTAATACTAATTTACAAAACAAATACATACATTGGATGATTTACCAGAGCAAATAAAGCTAAATTAGTGTCGGATTTATTTAAAAATTATGAATGCCAAAAATTTCTAAAGACCCCAATACTGGCCTTTCTGAGTATTGTGATTCAAAAAGTTATGTGAAAGAAAGACTACAAGGTTGTAGCGATCCTATTTAACAACCAGCTCTCCTTATCCTAGATCACAGGAAATGCAGATAATCTTCATCAGTGACATAGACCATGTCCGATGGATACATCTCTCTTACTGTGATACAGAAGCAAATGTGTAGCTCAAAAGAACAAACCATTGTACATGTGTGGGCCATTACACGACAGCTCGGTGATGCCAAGGTCACGTCTGTCTCTTTAATGTTTTGTAATGTATAATGTCTGATCATTGAAGTGCAGTTGCTTTTATAAAATAAAAATCAAGATACTGCATGATGGAGGCAACCTTCCCAAAATCACTGCAAGCAGATACGGTGGTTATGGTGCCATTAGTTTGCAAGCATGTTCACCACTTTTTGGTTAAACCGTTTTTGAGCAGTTTGTCCAAAACGAGAGTTAAATGTGGCACCAGAAGCCCAGCCCTCCAGTTCGACTGTTAATCAATTTCAGTCCATGATTTAAAGCCATTGATTGTCTGACCAAGTTAACTGATTCAAAAAGTGGTTATGGTGTCTAGAGTGCTGGTTTCTTCTTTACCCTGAGGCTGTGATTAAAGTTTGATTAAGGCAGTATAGGCACATGTCATCCTTATTCTACTGGCATGGGTATTGAATCCAATGTACAAAGCATGGCAGGCTTTTTCCTAATCAACCGAGGAGTAAAACGCAGCCTTGCTTGCCTTTGATCTCCATACATAAATTGTAATTTCTGAAGCCTCGGGGTAAGGGAGGCGGATTTATGGAATGGGGAATAAAAGATTATGGCAAGGCTATTTGCCCAGTCATGGCAGTGGAAGGGTTAGTTTTATTGCTATTGCTGTGGGAAGACAAGCTGGCAGTAGGTATCACTCACATAGGCACATCTCTGTCCTGTATCAAATACATTGCTCTATTTTATAACCACAAACCAAACAAGATGTGATGAATTTACGAGTACCTGAGTGATTAAACGGGACAAAGGGGCAGCGAATGACAGTGTGTGGTTTTGAAGCTACACGACTCGATTCCACTGCTAAATAAATCAATAAGGCATGCGTCAAACAGATATTACAATCTAAATTAACAATATGTAATCTGATAGAGAAGTCTCCAGTCATCCTGCTATCCTGTTGCTGATTCTACCAGAGTCCCCAAATGAAATTGCGCGCTCACGTGTCAGGGAGCTTCGTTCTGCTCTAAATCGGATGATTCTTCCTAATCTCACTTGCCTTAAGAGTTCATGTTCTTTAGATCGTCTTTCAATATGAGATCATTGCACCCAATGGAAACGAACCCAAAACACTATTTTTAGATGCTAGATTAATTTATGAGGTATAAAAGTATCACTGATAATCCGATTGTTATAGTTAATCGCAAATTAAGAAGATCATCGTTAAGTACAATTTTGTCTCCCTACAAATCCAAAGAGTATACCTACGTATTTCTTCAATGCACAGTACTTGCATTACAGGATTCTGGGAAAGTTTGAGCAAGTTACTGGTACATCCTCAGTGTTACCTTTCTCCTGTGTCTGTTCTTTAAACACAGGCTCCTTCACCATCTCTAGATTGTTAGAAGGTGCATGACCGGCACCCACACATTTGGTGTAACATTTAGGTTTGGTTATATTTAATTATGCTTGGTGGGTTTATTAAATTATAATAAAAAAATAAAAATAATCCTAAAATTTAATTAATCCCCAACCCTCCCTGACCTGCCATTTGTATTTATTATACTGCTGTATACTATAGCGCAGGCTTTCTGCAGAAGAAAGCAAGTCATTAAACAGCAACTCACTCTGCCTATAATGTACTACCTATAGGATACGCTTGACAGTGATATTGGAAGATAAGCAATAATGATTTTCTGAGTTTGAGTTGATTGCCAAGAAATGGGTGGACAAGGACATTGCAGATAGTAATAAAAACAAGTACATAGTAAAAGAGACGCTTCAAATGTATAAGTTAGTGCCGATAAATACCACCGTGAAAACAATCGCTAACTTTCACAAAATTACATAAAGCCAAACAAATAAAAAGTGGAAAGCACACTTATGCATACCAGTGTATAACCTTATGTGGTGAACACACTTAAAGGACCACTATAGGCACCCAGACCACTTCAGCTTAATGAAGTGGTCTGGGTGCCAGGTCCATCTAGGATTAACCCTTTCTGATGTGAACATAGCAGTTTCAGAGAAACTGCTATGTTTACAAATGGGTTAATCCAGCCTCTAGTGGTTGTCTCATTGAGAATGCTTTCCTATGAGCAGGGCCGGACTGGGGATACAAAGCAGCCCTGGAAAAAAAATTTGTGCCAGCCCCATAAGTCACTGCGCCATATATTGTCACGTGTAATATGTAAGGCTATGTCTTGCCAGGACAGATGATTGAGTAATATATATATATATTGCTTTTTCTAATATAAAATATTGGTCCTTTCAGGGTAAAACGTTTAATTGTACAGTAAGCATACGCACATGCAGACACAGGCAATTTCACTGACATTTCAGTGACACACACAAGCTCATTGATACACAGCCTCATAGACAAACAATCTTACTGATATACATCAGCTCATTGACATAAAAACACAAGCTCACTCACTAGCAGGCACACGCATGCAAGCAAGCTCACTCACTAGCAGACGCACACACACAGCTTAATGTGGTGGTACTGGTGTCTATAGCATGTCCCTACAGGCTTTTCAACGTAAACACTGACTTTTCAGACAAAAGGCAGTGTTTACATTGCTTCAAAGTGACACTGCTAGTGACAGTCACTCAGACGGTCACTAGAGGTGCTTCCTGTGTTAGTGCCCTCGCCCTCGCGCGCTGCTGAATGAGACTGGCGCCGGAATATGACGTCATATTCCGGCGCCGGTCTCATTCAGCTGCGTGCTGGGGAGCAGAGCCAGCGCAGCTCACGCAGCTCCCTCCCTGCAAGGATTTTTGCCGCCCTAGACAAAATAAAAATTTGCTGCCCCCACATGTCACATCACAATGCCCCACCCATATGATCTGCCATATGAACTAACGCCAGTGCTGCACACAGTGTGTGTTTACATTAAAAAGCCTGCAGGGACCAGCTATAGACACCAGAACCACTTCATTAAGCTATAGTGTCCCTTTAACCCCTTCAGGACGGGTGACGGACGAGGTCCGTCACGCAGGGGAGACCCTTAACGACGGGTGACGGACCTCGTCCGTCACGCGGTAAAATTAACCCCGGATCGCCGCTATCGCGGCGATCGCGGGGTTAATGGTGCTCCCGGTATGCCTCTGCATTGGGGGCATACCGGGAGCACCCGGTCAAGCTGCCCAGCACATGTGCTCGCTCTGACCACAAGTCGGAGCGAGCACATGTGCTCTGCATACTTACCTACCGGCTCCCTGCACTTCCGGGTTCTGTGTGAAGTGCAGGGAGCCGGATCAATGCTGATCCTGCCCCCTGCTGTTAAAAAAAATAAAGTTTATTTAAAAGTGTCCCCCTTACCCATTTTAATAAAAAATTAACCCCTTCCTGCCAATTGATCACTGACTACAGTGATCAATTGGCAAAATGATCTGATTTTTTTTTTTAACCCCTGAGGGTTAATTCTTTTTTTTTTTAACCCTCAGGGGTTAAATTAATTAAATTAATTAATTAAATTATTTTTAAATGATATATTTAGATAGCTGGGGTAGGTGGAAGTTAGTGGGGAATTGGGCGATTTGACGTTAGGCTAACTAGGGGTTAACGTTAAAAAAAAGTTTTAAAAGAAACTTTTAAAAGTTAAAAATTAAGCTTAAAAAATGTTTTAATAACATTTAAGTAATAAAAACAAAAAAACACACTTTACCTAGTCCAAATAAAAATTAACCCCTTCCCTGCCAGTCGATCACTGCATACAGCGATCAAATAGAGATCACAGTATTATACTGTGATCTAATTTTTTTTAACCCCTGAGGATTAACTTTTATTTATTTTTTTTTAACCCTCAGAGTTCAATTTATTTAATTAATTAATTTAAATATTTTATAACTATATATTTTGCTAGCTGGGGTGGGTGGGAGTTATGGGAAAATGGGGAATTTACTGTTAATGCTGCGTACTGCTAGTTAGGGGTTAACGGTAAAAAAAAAAGCTTAGAAAAATGTTAAATCTGTAAAAAAGTTTTAAGAAAGTTTAGGAAAGTTTAAAAAAAATTTATAAGCAAAACAAAAGTTTAAAACTAGTTTTTAAAAGTAAAAAAGTTATAAAAAGTAAAAAAATACATTTTAAAAACGCTCATTACCACTACACCTGGAGCAAACTAGAGAAAAAATTATCCCACGCCAAGGTTCAAAATATGCCTTTTGAATTACCCCAGGGTATATTCTTTAATAAATAGTATGTGTTTGTGGGGAAGTTTCAATAACCAACCGTCTAAACTACTCCAAA